ATCGGAGTTTCTCCCCGGAGGACCAACCTCAAGATCTTGCAGGTCTGCCTGAAGAGAAGATACACGAAAGGAAGATCTTGAAGGTTCTCTGCAACAACAGCCAAAATCCCCCAAACGAACTCTTTCTTCACAGATACAGTGAACCTTCCTTGAGGGTGTCCAGACCATGGACGATTTCTAGTGATTTCTAGTAACTTGACGCCAAGTCCTTGTTATTTTGACGTGTTCTCACGACCTATTTTAATTAGATTTTTTTAAAATTTTATAAATATTCATTCTAAATTAAAATTTAGAGAGCTTTTGGGAGGCTTTTGGTAGTCCTTCTTGAGGCACAGTAGGAGATCAAAATAGATAAAGTAACAAGAAATTTATCAATGATAAAAAATTAAGGATTTTAACTTTTCTAAATTTAATTTAACTTTTCTTTAAATTATTTTTCCACTAAAAAAGAGGGGTTCCTCGAAGAAATTCTATTTTCTTAGTTTTTTTTGAGAAAACGAGTGGTGCGTGCTAGATTTAGACTCACCTACCTAGGATTTTTGGGAAAACACTCTCTTTTATCCATGCAAAGGATCTCCTCAAAATCATGTCATAGATATGCTCTTCGTTGCAGTTGGCTGAATTGAAAAGAAAAAATTTCTTGTAACCCAAATAAACCAACAGACAACAAAGAAAATAAAGCTCTTTGCTTTTCTTGTGGTCGACAAGGTTTAGCATTTTGGGTGGTAAAACTTTCATGAAGCTGGCATCACTTTAAGTTCAAGTGACAAAAATTAATGCCGAGCTTCGACGGCATAGGAAATGGCGTTCCGGCTTCGGGCAACGTTATCAACAACGATGGAGCCCATAACTTTGGAACTGGATCTGGAAGCCCAAACTATGTCCAAGGTTCTGGGTCTAACCATGTCACTGGCGCAGAGGAGAAGAGACCCTGGGGAAAGAAAAGGTATGACCTCTGGAGAAAATAAGAGCTCCCCTTAGGGTTTTTTAGTTTGGCATTTTAAATGAAAATGTTGGGTTGGATTATGTAAAATGGGTAAAGATTAGTTGTTTAAGTCATGAATTAAATGGGCCATGGACATAGTTGTGGACCTGCAAAGGCTTTTGGGTTCATGTGCGCTTGAATTGACTGGCCGAGGCTACGCCTGCAGAATACAATTTTGAATTTGGAACAAAGCTTGGGCCGGATCTGCATCTTATTTCCTCTCCTTTTCTTCTTTTTTTTTTTTTTTTCTTTTTCCTTTATTGCCTTTTTTTTTTCGTCCTTCTTTATTTTTCTTTAAATATT